TCTTGGGGTCTGTTGATGGAACAGATAAAACATGAAGGATGTACATGGAAATGGAAAAAAATGGAGGAATTAATTGATCACACACACACACACACACACACAGGTTTACATTTGTGAAAAGTGGGGACATCCCATAGGCGTAATGGTTTTTATACTGTACAGACCGTATATTCTATTGCCCTTTACCAACCCCTAAACCTACCCCTTACAGGAGACTTTGTGCTATTTCAGATTTTCAATACACTCCATTCTGTGTGATTTATAAGCGTTTTGAAAAGTGGGGACATGGGGTAATGTCCTGAAAAGTCACCTTCTCCTTGTAATACCTATGTTATACCCTTGTCATTATACAAATTTATGTCCTCATTTGTCACAAAAACGCGTACACATACAGACAGTTTAATGGGAATGTGTGTTTTGTAATGATAACATGATGAAATATGAATGATTCCAGCTTGCAATAGACAGGCATTGGACAGATGTACATTTTGGCTAAAGCTGAAAATCAGGGTTCAAGTGAAAAGCAACATTGGAGAGCCGTTAAATTTTGGTTACTTAATACCATGACTAAACCAACAAAATATCAATGTGTAATGACACTATGCATTTAAAATTGTGTGGACGTTAAAGGGATAGTTCAGCCAAACATGAAAATTCTGTCATCATTTACTCACCCTCAAGTTGTTCCAAACCTGTATGAGTTTCTTTCTTCTGTTAAACACAAAAGAAGATATTTTGAAGAAGGTTGGTAACCAAACTCTTTCTGGTCCCCAGTGACTTCCATAGTTTTTTTTTTTGGTCCATACTATGGAAGTCAACATGGACCAGCAAGTGTTTGGTTGCCCATATTCTTCAAAGTATTTTTATGATATCCTCTCAACAGAAGAAAGGAAGTCACACAGGTTTGTAACAACATGAGGGTGAGTAGATGGTGACAGAATTTTCATTTTTGGGTGTACCTTTAAGATTATCACATTAAACAAATGTTGCGTCTGGGTGTCATACTTCACAACTGTTGGACGTCAATATGATGTTAGCATGAGATGATACCATGACTTAAAAGCATCAAAATATCAATGTCATTATTCTGCGTCACACTGACATTAGCATTAAGTGTTGTCCTGTCATCATCACCGACGTCAGAACCTACATTCAACTGAATACTCATGTCTTACAACGATGGTGGCTTGCTGGAGTATGATTAGTCAAGTGTGGTGTATTGACAAATAATTATTACTTACTAGGTAGATGGCTAAGCTCATTGAAAAACTTGTTCTTCATATTTATGAAGTTGTGGGAGTGATGAGAGGGAGGAGGCAGAGGAGGTGGAGCAGGTTTGGGCTCCTCTGATTCTGCTGCCCTCCGCACACGATGCTGCATGCTGACCAATTGCATGGCTGACCAGCTACAGACATAAAACTAGACTGTTACTGTCCTGACATAACAAACTAAATGCCATAAATCACATATATTGCCTAGATCGGTCTCAAGCCCACACTGTCTCTCTCTTTCCCTCCCCACCTCTGTCCTGTTTGTGTCAGGCTTGACTTTTGATGGAGTAAACTCTGACTATTAATCTGATTAAGTCTGTTATTAATCCTGGAATTGTGACATGTCAAAACACAACCATGCACTTCTGTTCAAACACTAGAATGTGCTCAAAAACTCCAATATTTGTCATCCACATTAGCACACAATGGTTATGTTTCCACCTGCCCTACTCTGCTGAACTGGCCTCTTGTCACTCTCAGCAGATGCGTAACAAGATTAAATGCCAAAGCTAATCCAAAAATCCTTGGGTTTAAGTAAATTAGGAACAGAGCCTAGTTCACACTTGAGCCTACTCATCTTGTCACCAGACCGCCATGTAAGACTAAAGACTTCAGGTATAGGCACTGCTCCTTTGTATATAAGAATATGTTGAGCAGAAAAGTCACGGTTGAATTTATGACAGGACTTTATGATGATTCTATGTCAGATGAAAGACAATAAACATAAACCTTTTTACAGTTAAAAAGATTAAATTCTTCATTTTCTCTATTGACCTTGTTGGGTTATCATAATTAACTCATGACTAACCTATTTTCTTCACTCTGTATGCACGAGATAATTAGAGATAATTAAGATAGATATTTTAAGATTGTTTTTACATACTGGTGGTTACTTTAATATAATTTTCTTATATATATATATAATATTTCATCCATTAAATCCATTACAATCCATTAAATGTTATTTGAATTTGTTAGTGTCTTAACTTTTTTAAACATGTAGAGTCATATACATTATGTGCTTATTTATTTAAATTTAGGTAAAATTATAGCTAGGGCAGGAGTCCACTTCGTTCTTGTAAGCCTAGCAGTTCTTTGCTGATTTTCATATTTAGTATTCTGACATCTGCCAAATATATACACAGTATACACAGCTTCCAACATATTTAAAAGTTTTCTACATTAGTTTTTGAATGAAAAAAGGGAATTAAACGTTTATAACCATTATTTTATAAAGTGTGCAAAAGAGGGTTGAAACAATGAAGTAATTTCTTCTCTTCTCATCTTTTCCATAGACAGCAGATACGTTGAAAGTGCGTAATCTGAGAGGTCAGAAAGCATCGTTTGTGTCATTGACTGACACGACTGCACTAATCTGGCTAAAGAAGGCCTGTCGCTCAGTGCGTCACAAGCCGGGATCATACGGCCTTGTTTTTTTCCTTCATCGCTATTTTGTCCACCAGCGGGTAGAACTGCTGTATTTTCAGATTACCTAAATCTCATCTAGTCACCCTTTAACGTATTTTTATTTATTTTTTTATTTTTTGGCAGTTGTCCAAGACTGAAGAGCTTTTACGCACATAGGCTAAGCATCAATTTAGTCAAGCAAAACTCATCTGAGCCACTCTTATTGCGAGGGTTTATAGAAAAGATGTCGGCAGCTATACTGTTATACAAAATGTGGCGAACAAGAAAAGAACAAAAAAACGAACCGTGTCTTGTTTATTAACGTCACTGTGCTATATATAAGTAGTTTTCATTTATAATTACATGGCATTTCAAGTGAATTAGATTGTCTGTGGACTGTTGCAGCCTATATAGTCTCCATGAATTTAGTGAAAATTTATTATTTTGCTACTCACTCAAACTATCGTGACACATTTTCAAGTAGTTACAACTATTCCATGTAGTATTTGAATTAATATGATGCTATTAAATTGCACATGCTATAATAATCATAAAATTATGTTTAAAATCATTTTAAATGACACTGCTTGACATGTCAATCAATTCCAAGATAGTATGATATGTCCATGAATAAGTGGAGCCAATGAAGCAAACAATAATCAAACTTACCTGATGATGTTCTACAGATCCTACTCTCTTAGATAGAAACCTGTGCTTTGTTTATAGAGCACAGCAGCCCTCTCACACACTGCTCTAACTTACTCTTGTCGTCCACTTTATCATCTGTCCCTCTCTCTCCCCAAAGCGCATTTGAAGCGCCAAACCTTCTTTCACTTGGATTAATCGTGCTCTCCCTTCTGTTCACAGTTATGTGCCCCGTAGTGATGTGCATCAGTATTGGATCCGTGAAATAGGTCTTGTGACAGCAGCAGCCTAATAAAGCTGTGCCGTCTGTCATTAATGTTAATCATACGAGACAGATAAAATCCCTCAGTGCTCTTGACTAAATAATGTTTTGTTGAATAACTTTAATATGTTAATTTACAATTTATTCAATTTCTGTAGCCTATTTAAAACACGTTCATATTTTAGAAAATGTAGTTAACCTTTGCATCATTAATGATTTATCTTATCCACCCGCGACCCACCCGCAAATAATCGGAATGCATTTTTTATTACCCAACCCACCCGACCCGCGGATATAATTTATAATAATCTTATAATCTTATTTCATCCATCTCGTACGACCGTTTCTCAGTTTGCTAGTATCCCATATAATCTCCTGCATGCTGTTTATCGGATTCTAATTTGCAATATAATTTTCGTTCAGACCCTTCTTAATCGGATTATAGTCGGTGGTTCACGGCTGCTAATAGGCATGATTGGTATAGCATAAGGAGGCTGTAAACCTTGTTCATTGGTTATGAAATGAGGACAAGGCTTCACCAGTAGTTGACGATTATCGAGACATTGAAAGAAATAATTTTATGAACCATAACGGGCCTTGGTCCTTCAGTGTTTATGACCAATGTGCGATTAATAGACATCAAAACAGCGCCCTCGTGTGGTAAAATGAAATACTAGCCTACACCTGTTGTGCCGTGGAAATTAATGTGAATATTTAGATCTCTTAATTTAACAGACCACGAAAAGTTTGTAAGAATATTGTATTTACTCTCTGTAGGCCTATATAATATTAGGTTGTACATTAGATTTTATGAAGTACTAATGTGCAGTTGTGTCAGTGATTGACATTATCCTTACAGATGAGTGAAGTGTCTCCTCTATTTTCACTTTATCTATGAGGTTTGTTGTCGCTGTTACAGTAGATTTGTACATTAATCAGTCCCACTATTGTTCAGTCCAATAGATCTGCATTCACAGGTTTTCTGCTGGGGAAAAAATCCAGTTACATGAATCATTACAGCCCACTCTTTTTTTAAAAGATATTTTGGGGGATTTTATGCCTTTTTTTAATGCCGAACTCGGGTCGCCGTGAGCGCAGTTGTACTGTATGTCAACACACTAACCTATTGGCGCTGACTGCATCTTGCAATTTTAAATAAAAAGACAAGGGTATTGAGCTCAGAATTTTTTATTTAAATTCACCAGGCCAATCATTGCACATTCAACAGGAAAGCATTGCTTGATGACAATCACAGGATGACTAAAACAGTAACGCTGCATTGTTTTACAAGTAACAGGAAACTTTACTTGATGTTAACTTTTCAACCTGTCAGACTTCAAAATTTTGCACAAGAGCTGTTTGATAAGAACATATTTAAAAGAATAATATTTTTATTCATTCGTGTATTAATATGATCTGAGGGCTGCATTTAGCTGCTGTCTCCATCCAGGGTGTGCTTGTCAAACAGGTACTCCGCCATCCTGTTGTTGCCAGCATCCATCTTGGAAAGGTTGGTGATGTGGTCACCAAGCTTCTTGATGGCCTCAACCTGCTCATTCAGGTAGTGAGTCTCCAGGAAGTCACACAGCTGTTGGACAAGACGTCAGAAATTTTTTTTAGGATGCTAAATTCTCAGCACTGAATAAAACTGCTTTAAAGAGACATGTATATGCAGGCAGATTTCGCCTCTCAACTTCAACAATGAGGGTCACTCACATGAGGGTCTCCCTTCTCAGAGGCGACCTTATGCAGATCCAGCAGAGCCTGGTTGACGTTCTTCTCCAGCTGAAGAGCGCACTGCATAGCAATCAGTCCATTGCCCCACACATCTCGCTCAGGTTTCTGAAGAGAGACACAATCAGTGAGTAGTGAGCATGGCATAAGGTCATTCCATAAAAATGGGTCTAGAGTCAGATTTGCTTATGTTACAATGTTCAAAGTCAAAATGCTTAATTCAAAACATTATTAAAGCACCTTGATGTCCTGAAGCACAATGCGTCCCCCCCTCTTGTTCTGGAACTCCATGATCTTCTCAGCATGCTCGCGCTCCTCCTCGCTGTTCTTCTTGAAGAACTTGGCAAAACCAGCAAGAGCGACATCATCCCGTTTGAAGTAGAAAGCCTGATCAAAATTAAAGAAGGGAATAAGAATGGCTGCAAAACTAACTCATCACAGAACAAGAATATGGCAAGTCGTTTTAGCTTAAAATATTCCAAGCGTTACTCGTCGTAATTGCATTTTTACTAGTAACAATTCAATTAGAGAGCTCTACAATTAAATTCTTACTAGTAACAATGCCAGTTAGAGAGCTCTCTAAATCTATTTTAACTAGTTATAAACACAATAAGAGAGCTCTCTAATTCAATTAGAGATCTCTGCAATTGCATTGTTACTAGTAATAATTAAATTAGAGAGCTCTTCAATTCAATTCTTACTAGTAAGAATTACAATTACAGAGCTTTTTAATGCAATTTTTACTAGTAACAATTGAATTAGAGAGCTCTCTAACTGGCATTGTTACTAGTAAGAATTTAATTGTAGAGCTCTCTAATTGAATTGTTACTAGTAAAAATACAATTACGAGGAGTAACACTGGGATTATTTTAAGATAAAAACGACTTGCCATACAAGAATGCAGGTCAGCAGTCACCCCTAACAACTGTAAACAGCCTTGGATGGTCCCATAACACTGATGCATAGCTACTGCTAATGGCATTTGCGCTATTTAGCCTATAAGGTTTTTATAAAATATTTATAAAATTTTCTTGTTTTTATTTTTTAGAACATTGTTTAATCGAACGTTTGATAGAAGCGAATACGTTTTGTCAAGAATGGACAAATAATCGATAGAGAAACAACATGTCATGAAACGATTTAGCAAAGTGATAAAAACCAATAAGCAACACTTGCCATGGAGGTGTAGGTGTATCCAGCGTAAAGCTCCAAGTTGATCATCTTGTTGATCAAAGCCTCGCAGTCGCGGTCGTAGTTCTGGCGAATCTGAGAAGTCTCCATTTCGGCTGGTTTTATTAGCCTATCAAAATTGATACAGAATAAATACGAAATTTAAATAGGCTCATATAATTTCCGGCGAGATCGAAGTTCCGTTCAATCACTGTTGAAGCAAGAACCTCTTCAGATCTTCCTGAAGCTGTGAGTGAAATGAAGGTGTGCGTTCATCTTATATACGATCAGCGAATGATGCGTCAGTGAAACTAAAAACCAGCCAATCAAAGAACGAGCTGAGTAACTAGGTGACTAGGCTTTCCGCTGCGGTAGGTTAGATAACGAAGACAAGATCAAGTTTAATTAATAGTTTTTTAGTCTTTTCCGTTTTCATTATTAATAGCATAGTAAGTCCAACAGGTTCACAGTCACAATTACAAGCATTTTTTGCACTCTGAAATGTAACTACTTTTTAAACATGAAGATATATATATCTATATCTATAGCCTATTCATATATTCATCCTTTCTCTAAACTAGGCCTACATGCCAGTCACAGGCATAATTATATATATATATATATATATATATATATATATATATACAGTGTATATTCATATAGGCTATAGCCTATTCATATATTCATCCTTTCTCTAAACTAGGCCTACATGCCAGTCACAGGCATAACTGGATTTCGCATATAGGCTAAATAAACTAATTACCATTAGCTATACAGTACAAACGACTGTTAATGCACATACATACACATAAGAAAAAAATCACAGCATTATCAAGCATAGGCCGCTAGAGGTAATTTCTGATCACTGATTGTCATTCACCAGTCATCTTTCAGTAACACTGCATAAAATACAGTTAGTGTTACAGTATTTTATTGATACATATTGTTTTATTGTAATATACTGTATAATGTGTTATTTAGAACAACTAGAACAGCTAGAACAATTCATTTTCCAGGAGTAATTTTCTTATTTTTTCATGGATGGAAAACGAAAAGTTCCAGGTTGTGTGTAGGAAGCTGGTAACACTATATTAATAGGAGCCTGTGTATAATATGGCAAATATAATATGGGGGAAGTCGTGGCCTAATGGTTAGAGAGTCGGACTCATAACCCAAAGGTTGTGGGTTTGAGTCTCGTACCGGCAGGGATTGTAGGTGGGGGGAGTGAATGTACAGCACTCTCTCCCACCTTCATGACTGAGGTGCCCTTGAGCAAGGCACCAACTGCTCCCCGGGCGCCGCAGCATAAATGGCTGCCCACTGCTCTGGGTGTGTGTTCACTGCTGTGTGTGTGCACTTTGGATGGGTAAATGCAGAGAACTAATTCTGAGTATGGGTCACCATACTTGGTCACACATTCCTCTTTGTAACCTGTGTAGATGTAGATACCTGACACCTGACTGATCAGAAAAGTACAGTGAAGAGAGGTCACAATTACGAAGCAGTTTTGTAGCTTCGAGAAATTGCCAATGAAAGCTCACTCTGTGTCAGCAGCAACAACCACAAACTCCCAAGAGCTGACATGGAGCTGCGTCTCTGTGATTCAGCATTTTGTCTCTCATGGAAGATGCGTGTATTTGTAACCTGATCAGCTTGCTACAGTAGGTTACACATGTCAGACCATCAGACTGTTATAGTAAACCATATTATGTTTAATTTGAAACAGTTTTTTCTTGTCTGTTTGGGTCTATCGCTACAAATATTTCCAATGTTATAAATTATTAGTAGCCTTTACAATAGGATAGGCTTAATTAATCTAAATTAAGCTTTTTAAGGAGGTTATTTGAAAAGTCAGTGAGTGTAGCTTTAGGATACCAGTCGGAAGTGCTATTGAAATATAAGAAACAAGACCATTACATGCTACTCTATTTGTGAGCTCTTAGAAACTATTGTTTTTCTGCTCACTGAAGAACTTGCACTATTGATAGTTTTACTGAATCCTCTTTTGCTTGTGCTGCTTGTAATCAAGTGACCTTAATTTTACAGTGTTCTTCAGTGATTGTTCAGTCAATGTAACATTTCCTGAGTGCTGCGCACATTGATAAACAATGCTGGATGTCCCTTTGTGCACACTAGTGCTGTGGTGAACAACAGAAGTACTGTAATACTCATGATAATGAAATTTATAAACACAACCTGATGTTATTATTTTTATATTTTTTTAAGGGTTTAGCCTGAAAAACCATGTGCCAGGACTGTATCAACTGCACACTCGCTGAAGCAGAGTTGAGCCTGCCAGTACCTGGATGGTTGATATCCTTATAGGGAAACTGAGATTGCTGTTGGAAGAGGTATTAATGAGGCCAGTACAGGAGCACATCCTCTGGTCTTTTTGTGTCCTGATGCACCAGTACATTATAATGTTGATAACACTTCCTGTCCTTTGTAAAAAGGACTTTCTGTGGTCAGTATAAACCCTATAGGGTCTCTCTCAGAAAGACTATAGAAGTAACCGTATAGGCCCAATAATCCTCATATGTGAAATGACTACCGGTATATCACACTTGACTCTCCACAGAATGATAATATCTGTCACATCATTTTGGTTGCAGTTTTTTGAATTCCACGTATTGTAAACAGATTTTAAAGGAGTCGTACACCCAAAAATGCAAAATCTGTCATTATTTACTGATCCTTATGTCATTCCAGACCTGACTGTTCTTCACTTTCTTCTATGGAACTCAAAATAAGATAATTTTTGACTATACAGTTCAAGTTAATGGGGTCCAGTGTTGTTTGGCCCACGGCATTCTCAAAATATATTGTGTTCCTTAACATTACTTGAAGTAAATCTAACATTGTATTATTTTTAGATGTATCTTATGCTAATAGCATGGGTCAGAAACATAAGATCAACATCAAAATATAGCTCTCGATTAATCTGATCGTAATGATTACAAAACAAAAGTATTTATTTGAGAGCTAGACTATAAGGGTCAGATTACTTTTTTTTTTCATCAGGATTCTCATTCCTGATAGAGTGTGCCAGAACTAAAAACTAAAAAAGGTTTTTTTTTTCTTTTTCCATAATGAATATCAAATTAATTCTAACAGATTTGTTTCAAACCAGAAATATAAGAATTAGCTTAGAATTAGCTCTATAATATAGTATGATGAATGAATGGCTGAATGTATAGGAATCATCAGATCACACAGTCTTGATACAATCAAGATAGACGCTACTGTAATTGGAAAACAGCTTATTGATATGTATTGTCCAGTGTGCTTATAAATAATAAATAAATAGCACAGATGTGAATACTGAGCTATAGGATCGCTCGCTGTACTTGATGGTCCTGATGAGCTAAAAGTGCAAATTAAGACAACATCATTATCAGGCCTACTGTGTTGCTTTGATTATATGGGTTTTAAAATCTGGTGTCAATAGACTAAACTAATTTAGACAAATGATAAACAACAAATTTAGATGATAAATGAACTTTTCCAGTAAATTAAACTGCTTATGTTACATAGATAGATACCTCTATCATCTCTGGGCACACAAATACACAAGCAGATAATTATTCATTTCTTTATTGGTTCTTTACTGAAAGGAAGTTATCAAGTGTTAAAAGTGTTTATTTGCTAGCACTAACATAGCAATAACACAACTGTTAATACTCCATGAATTTCGCGGGGAAAGCATTTTACTGTGAAATACGTGTAATTTAACAAAATATAGTATTCAGCTCATATAGCGGAAACCCTCTCTATTCATATATTATAGAGGAAACCCTAGTATCACTTATTATAGGAGCCTGTGTATACTAAGGCAAATATCACAAGACAAACATGATGTAATTTCACTGTGGAAATAAGGTCATTTTCCTCTTGATAACTGCCTTTAGAAACAAGAGTTATCAGTCAAGTGTGTATCAAAGTCTTCTTCAGGAGGGACAAAACATGTTGACTAAGCAGTGTTGTACTAGACGTTGCCTGTGAAAGCGCTTTCTGTCGGCTGCAACAACTGCAAACTCCCAAGAGCTGACATATGGAGCTGCGTCTCTGTGACTCAGCATTTTCTCTCATCATGGAAGATGCAAGTACGTTTGTAACCTGATCACCTTGCCAGGATAGGTGTGAAGCCATCAAATTAGTCTAAACCATATTCTTTCTGTCTCTAATCTTAATTAATATAGGTTTCCAAATATTAAACACATGAAGCAACACTTCATTTCAAAACTGACTTACACCATCAAAAGCATGACAGAAACTAGAAATGTAACTGTTGTAATGCATTCACTTTGAGTTCCACTAAATATATCTACATCTTGTTTTTATTTCTTGTTTACAACAAACATGTTATGGTGTAATTATTTGTATATTTAAATCAGTCAAGTGTGTATCAAAGTCTTCTTCAGGAGGGACAAAACATGTTGACTAAGCAGTGTTGTACTAGACGTTGCCTGTGAAAGCGCTTTCTGTCGGCTGCAACAACTGCAAACTCCCAAGAGCTGACATATGGAGCTACGTCTCTGTGACTCAGCATTTTCTCTCTCATCATGGAAGATGCAAGTACGTTTGTAACCTGATCACCTTGCCAGGATAGGTGTGAAGCCATCAAATTAGTCTAAACCATATTCTTTCTGTCTCTAATCTTAATTAATATAGGTTTCCAAATATTAAACACATGAAGCAACACTTCATTTCAAAACTGACTTACACCATCAAAAGCATGACAGAAACTAGAAATGAAACTGTTGTAATGCATTCACTTTGAGTTCCACTTAATATATCTACATCTTGTTTACAACAAACATGTTAGGGTGTAATTATTTGTATATTTAGAGCTTTGAATAACTTTAATATTTTCCTTGTTAATTGACATTTATTACAATATGCAACCTAAATTTTGTACATGTGGCTTTTTACTTGGGCCATTACCTTCAAAAGTACACATTTGTACCTTAAAATGTGCACACAGACCAGGTCTCACCATTTTAAACATAACAACAAGAGAATCCAGCCAAAAAATTTTATTCATCAAATTCACCATGTTAAAACCAATTAGTGCACATTCAACAGAAAAGCATTGGCTTGGCTATAACAACTTGAGTAATAAAGAGAGCAAAACTGAATTGTCTAATGGTGACATTATGGAATTTAAAAATTTTCAACTTATCGAACTTTAACATTTTAAACAAGAGCTGTGATAAGAATATCTTGCTTGATATATGGCTGGAGGCTTTGCAACATGCAT